CTGTGGTTTTGCAGGGGTGTGGTGGGCTCCTGCTGGGTGCTGTAGGAGGCTGAGCCCTGCTGCGAGCTGGCTGGGCTCGCAGCGGGGAGGAAACTGCCCTAGGAGGCAGAGCTAAAAACAGCCAAGAGAAACCCCAAGGCCGGAGGAAGCAGGACGGGAACCTCCCTTAGCCACGGTGCCTTGCATGAGGGTGAGGAGCAACGCTGTGCTCCAGCTGCTTCTCATCCCAGGCTGCAGCGCAGCCCTCCAGAATGATGTACAAGAAGGTCCCAAGGTGTGCTTGGAGATGCTTTTGGGATGGGCTGGGAAATCCTGACATTTCCCACCGTGATGCTCTGGGAAACAGTGTCTGGGCTGGCAAGACATGGTGCAGCCCCTCGTGCTAGGGCTGTGCACTGTTGGCTAGTGCTGGCAATACCAGGTCACTAGCGTTGGGGCTTCGGCTGGGATGGGTTTGTGGTGTCAGCATGTCAGCCTCTCCTGATGGACCCATTGCCCCGAAAGGCAGCTGCCGCTGGGGAGCCCCTGTGCCCAAAACGGCCCCTGCCGCTGGGGAGCAAGGGGCTGTGACTGCAGAGGGATGTGAGAAGGAGAAAGGATGTGGGTGAGACTGTCTATTTGTCCCAGCATGGACATGCGCAGGAAGGCTCCCCCCCGCCACACCGTGCTGACTCTTGCCACCAGTTGCTGATTCTGCTTCCCAGCAGTTGACTGTGCCATGCAAGTCGTGGTAGAGATCTCCTCCGGGGATGGAGGAGGGAAGCAGCAACCTGGGGAGGTTTGCTTCAGGGGAGGTTTAGATTGGATATTAGGAAAAATGTCTTTACTGAAAGAGTGGTCAGGAGGCTGCCCAGGGCAGTGGTGGAGTCACCATCCCTGGAGGGGTTCAAAAACCGTGTAGATGTGGCACTTCGGGGTATGGTTTAGTAGGCATGGTGTTGTTGGGCGGATGGTTGGACTTGATGATCTTAGAGGTCTGTTCCAACCTGTGATTCTATGAACCTTCCAGGCAGGCGGAGCACCTCGGTGTCTGCCTACAGCAGTGGACATTCACTTGCTTTTCCACCTGCCTTGGTGCAGGCCCTGTCTGCGGTATCAGGAGGACCTGATCTTTACAAAGAGCTTTTGTTGAGGTTTTGGACCAGAGGTTTGTTATGTTATGGCACTGATCTGCCCTGCTGCATGTGCTCCGTGGGAGCTGGTGTATTGTATCTCTGTTCTGGCTGGTTGCTGGCGGGGTTCTTCCCCAGCAGTGCTGGTGGTGGCTTTTGGACTAGCCTGCTCTTGTTAATTACCTGTCATATTGGAAATGTAATAAAAGAACAACCTGTTTCCTGGGACAGGCGAGGTCAGGAAGCGAGCACAGTGAGTGACCTGCTGAAGCTGACCTCCCACCTGTGAGATGATGGGATGCAGAATGGCCAGACCATCGTGCCAGGAGGCAGGTGCTCTTGAGTGCTTGGTGCCTCTAAGCATCCCTTCAGGGGTTTGGTTCGTCTGCCTGGCCCTGCTCTTTCCAGATTCAGAACAGTGCTTGGGGGTGGGATGCCCAGTGGAACAGACGTCCCTCTGGACGGCTGCAGTGAGCCCCCAGGCGAGGGCTGTATGGGGAGGGAGGCAGGGAGGGCATGGTCCCCAGGGATGGGCAGTGATTCCTCCTTCGCTCGGAGGTTCCTGGACCAGCACAGCTGGCAGGCTGCCCCTGCCACAGAGGGGCGAGGGTGGAGGTGCCCGAGGGCTTATGCCTGCTCTGAAGGTGTTGCACCACGAGCTGCTGCCCACACTGACTCTCCACCTTGCCCATTTCCAGGCATCAAAGCTGCGGTGCCAGTGGATTATGACCGCAGGGGAGTCGTGTTGCATCTGCAAATCTCTGTCGTGCATCAAGGGCAGATCTGAGCAGGTGAGTGCTGTGCACATGAAAGCACTGCTGTCTGTGCTGGGGGAAGCTGGTGGGGGGCCGTCATGGCTCAGGGCTGTCAGGCTCCTGGTTTTTGCCTTCGCTGCCAGGCGTCTCTTATTGGAAGAAAACAACTGAAAGCTCTTCTCCGTGTCTGTAGGGCCACAAAGTGTCCTGTGCCATAGGCAAAAGGGGCAGGAGGTGGACATGAGACCAGCGGCTAGCTGGAGGCCCAGAGGTTGCTGGTGATCAGCAGTGTCTTGGAAAGCAAGACATGAAAAGGTCTCAGAAAGAAGCAGGGATCTGTCCATAAGCACAAGTTTTCATACAGGAGCACATGCAAAAGTGATGCAAAATACAAGCCAGCTATGAGAGTTCACAGCTTAGCTTAGAGCATTTGTGGTTTAAATGGAAAGCAAGGTGGTAGCGCTGCCTGAGATGGCCGAGATGTCTGTGGCCTTTGGGTTTGGGAAGTTTGGAGGAGCTGAGCCTCCGTGTTGCCTTCTCTGCCTGTGTGACCCCGCAGGCAGGTGGTACCCTAATGCCCTTCTCCTGGAAAGCATCTGAATCACTCCAGCCCTGCATCTCCCCACTTTCTTCCCCTCAGAGCCACTGTGCAGACTGAAGAGCTGGAGATGACAGTGCAGAGGTTCGGACGCACACCGTGATGGTGGGAGCCATTCCACGGCAGCCACGCCGCTTCTGGGGTGTGCCTCGCTGGCAGGGGTCTTCAGCTAGCTGGGCCAACG